AGCATAGAGCTCGTGAAAATGAAGTAATCCAAGTGATTACACATTGGAGCAAACAAAAAATTGCACAACGCTGTTGACACGTCATTAGGTGATTGGATGTCTAGTTTAATAATTCAAGTTTATGTAATTAGTCAAAATCTAATTAAGTGAAGTTCAAGGTGGTTAAAGCCAGCAAAGTGTCCAATCTAACATAGACGTTTGTATAATTAATGGCTATTAATGTCATTATAGGTGATTATCTTTTAAGTTTCTCTCCAAATTTTCTCTATTCTTTCCCATCAATATATTCTCCTCACCTTTTCGTTTGTAAAGAGATAATGAGATAAAACATTTTCGAAGCAAAATAATTTAATTATGAGTATATATATTAATATTCCCCAATTAATATGGAATAAAATGAAGGAAAAATATTTAAATGAGAGCTATAAGAACAAATTTTATTAAATACGGTATTTTCCTTTCTTAATTGTGTTTGGATTGCAAATGATGAAGAGGAAGCATCCATTATGATGGCAGTCATTGTTGTTTTGCAAACAAAAATTCTAAATTTTTGCAAAATAATAAAAACAAAACTAAAATCAGCAACCATTTTCATAATTAATTAAAATAAACTACAGCAAAAATGTTCATGTTTTATTATAAAATTAAACCCTAGCTCGATGTCAGTTTCATGTTTGCGCCATTTGTACTGATATGCTGATGATATGACATATGCAGTGACGATGAATACAAGCAAAAAGTCTAATTAGCCCTAAGCAAATTAATCATAGAATTAATTGTTAATTAATTAACTGAAACTTAATACGTATGTATTGAAAATTAAGAACTACATAGATATTACTTTGCATATTATTGTTTGCATGCATGAAGGATTTAGATCAAACATCACCAGCAAATGCAAGGTTTTTTTTTATAATTTTTAACAGTTATATACATTGGCTTTGCCTTCCTCTCATGCAAAGATTTTCAGGAGGAATCATCATCATCTCCGGCGTTGTATTCTCACTACAATGTCTACTGACAAATTTACATCCGAGCGTAAAGATTTGTTGGCCTATCAGCAAATTTCGTTTCATGGACCGTATTTATATTATCACCCGTATAAAAATTAAGATTGCTTATTACTCCAGTCGACACTATTTTCTTTTAATGAGCTTATTATTATTATTATTATTATTATTATTATTATTATTATAGTAATTGTAGTTGTTAGTCTATAAATTGCAGCGTTGTAAAATATATACCTTGTAACATAATATTTTTAGCAAATTTTTCCTTTCTAAAAGATTTTAATTTGGTGAGATTTGAACATCTGACATCTATATTCAAAGTGATATTATGTTACTGCTAATTAAAAAAAGGAGAGGTTAAAAAAAGAGAAAATGTCCTCTTCCACTAACTTTATGTTTGACCCTAGAGATAATGATGTTACCACTTTCAATGGACTTATCTTTCCACCTTCTTTCTTTCTTTCTTTTCCCCTCTTTTTCTTATATTTACCTTATCAGATAGGTCCAAAAGGCCAACTACATTACAAGGCATATATTATATATATATATATATATAATTTCACCACCAAAGAAAGAGGAAAGAGTGTCATTTCAGAGGAAAAAGAAGGGCTGCAAATCAGCATAAACAAACAGGCTTCTTCTTTTCTTGCCACCCTTTCTCACTTTTGAGGCACCATTTTACTTATCTAAATTGGTACATAAAGAAAGAATCTTCTCACCTTTCAAAAGATCACAAAACTACTTTTCTTTTTTCTACATGGCCCAATACAGAATCTAACACTTACACATAATTGAATTTCAAAACTTTGGATACTACTGTTCAGTAATTATTAATTAATTAATCATCCTTTTTTGTCTTCTCTGCTGTAAACTTTGATGATTTAATCAAAAAAAAAAAAAAAAAAAAATCTCTGCCTGTAAAACTTTGATGATTTAATCAAAAAAAAAAAAAAAAAAAAAAAAAAAAAAAGTACTTAACTATGGACAACTGAAGTAGAGAGTGATTCACTCTTCAAGTAAAAGACAAAGGCTTTAGAGTTTCTCCATCGTTTTGCAGTTACCTAAACCTAAGTAAGAAGTAAAAGCAAAAAATGAAATCATTCAATTCATTTCAATGATTATGGTTCCAATTTGGTGGCAACCAAAAAAAGGTCATAATATTTGAATCCAATTATTTCTTTTGCTTATTGTGGAGCACACAGTAACCCCAGCTGCCATTCACCTACCTTGGGCTCCATCCCATCTATTTACTTCTACCTTCCTCTTCTTCCCCAACCTAACTTTGCAATGCTTAGTCAAATCTATCTCAAGAGTAAGGCAAAAATTTCTATATTCTCTTTGTAGTCTTAACCAATCATTTTATTGCGTGTGGTTTACCTCATTTCACATTGTCTGTTTGACAGATTGTATTTCGCTTAAAAATTTATTAAATAGTATAGTGCATTTAACGGTAGTATGCAATTTTTTTCAAATTCATAAAAGAAAAAAAATTGAATAGGGAGGAATTTGCGGTGTGACGTGACGAGAATGCAGGAAAAAATGGTTGAATTTTGCACTTCTCCTATCATTATCGAAATGGAAAACAAGATACATTTTTTCTCCATTTTTCTTAATGTGAAAAAGGCAAATTTCAAGAATGACTAACCCTAAATGGACATAATACCGGCCCGAATAAATAAAAAGCCCAAGATAATAACCTGAATTGGGCCACAACTGGTCACCCTTTTCTAATCATATGGGCCCAATCAACAATACGGATGGCCCAATCTGTTTCATTGTTGCATTATTATTACCTGAATTGGATATAACTGATTCATTTGAAGGTTTAAATGGATGGAAATAATGTATTGGACTATGCAAAAAAAAAGATAATCTTTCTCTTAATTCACTAATTGAATTGATTTGATTTAGATATTGGTGGAAAATAATAAAATAATATTATTATTTATTAATAATATTTTTCATTGTTAGTTTATCGTTTTTTCCCCTTATGAAAAAAAAAAAAGAAGTTATCAACATTAAAATTAGAATGTTCAAAAAAAAAAAAAAAAAAAAAAAAATTTAGAATGTTCAAAAAAAAAAAAAAAAAAAAAGAAAAGAAAAGAAAAAAAAAAAAAAAAAAAAAAGAAAAGAAAAGAAAAAAACGAAATGCCCTTCATAATTGTTTTCAAAATTTAAATCTTGATTAATAAGATAATGAACAAAAAGCCTAAATTAACTAATTAAAAGTAAATATGAACATTTTTGTTACAGTATCATTTTTCTTAATTTTGAAACATAGATATGGAATTTGGATGATTGTGAATATATAAAATCCTATTTCGTATTTCATTTTGATTCATGGAATTGAAATATATTTTTAAATAAAATTAAGCAAGTAATTAATGACATTTGCATAAATATAGCAACATATAACTGTTAGAAATTACTTGCCTGGACCGGGTTTATAACCATTAGCTATGGACCAAATCAATGATAGTAAATATTATTTAAAAAGTGTTCCGACTTTATAATTTTTTTCTCAGTGTATAGTTAGAACTACCCTCATTTCAATAAGAAATTTTATTCTCTATGAGTGGGGCCAACCCAGTTTAGATAAAATTTTTCCATAACTGTTATATATTCAAGAGTTGGTTGTACCTTGTAATGGAGCTTAATTTGTGTTAGGTGTAATGTAGTTATCCGTTGTCATTCTCCTGAAAACGATCTATAGCCATATGTACATACAGAAATTGAATATGTTGTCCTTTTATTGCCCTGGCTCAGATACACTTAATTAGATCAAACTGACGGTTGTAGTAATCAGTTTGTATCAAAATTCTAATCTATCATTTTCTTTCATTAATTGCCAATTTCTCAAGATAAAAGGAAAGCTTCAACTAGAAGAAATGAGGATCCTTTCTTGTTTTAACGTTTATATAAGAGTAAAACTACTACATTATCATTAATTAAATTGTGATATAAACAAAATTAAAATATTAACCTTTATTTTTTCAAAAAAATATATTTAATTAAATGTTCAATTACAGTATGGTTAATGTCGAAAATAATTTAATATGAATCGTTTAATTTTAATAGATATTAACATAAATGTAATATTAGAAAAAAAAAATAAAAATTATAGTTTAACTATTTTAACTAAATTTTATTAATCTATTTAAAAGTCAAACCAAAATAAAAATTATAGATGGAAAGAATACTATTATACAAAAGGATTAAAATTCAAGGAAATTACTTAATTAACTATAATATTAGGCATTTGATATTATCAGTAGAGGGAAATTGTGAAATATCAGACAACAGTGGACATGAAATTTGATATTTGATGCTTTTAGCATCTCTTGCAGGCAAATTGTGGACCACAAAAATAATTGAGAAGAGAAAAAAATTAAAGAAAATACGAAATTTCACATATGTGGTGTGTCCCTTCTTTAATTTGATTTGGACTATGTTGGTCATGTTGATCTATTCACGTGGTGTTTAAAGATTAGGTGTTTTTTTTTTTTTTTTTTTTTTTTTTTTTTTTTTTTTTTTTTTTTTTTTTTTTTTTAATTTTCTTATTGGACTATATACATATTATAAATTTTTTTTTTTTTTTTTTTTTTTTTTTTTTTTTTTTAATTTTCTTATTGGACTATATACATATTATAAATGGTGAAATCAACTGATCAACATGATAAAGCCACTACAAAAGTGACGATAAATCACACATAAATGCGTGCTTTCATTATTTGAGAAATGAAGATATCATTCATTGGCAGAAACCTAGGTAGAGATTTTTTCCACACAAATCATTATTAGTCCGTCTCTTATTAGTATAAAAAAAGATTGTTGTTTGAAAGAAGGAAGAAAGTTGTGATTGTCAAGTGTTTGGATATAAAAAACGATTCAAATTTTTATTTGAACAGTCCTGCATTTAAAATTAAAATTTGCCATTGTTATCTGAATATCATCTGGATAAGTAGATAGAAGATGAAAATAAGACTAAGCTTGTGAGTAATTGAGTAAATATTATCTTTACTGATGAAAAGTATCACTCCCCTAACCTTGCATCACTGCATGAGTTGTTCATGTAAAACTAAAGAAATTGGGAATTCTACACAGTACACACACTTCCAATCCCTATCCTTATCTTTTAATTTTATGATAACTCCCCTATTTACATACAAAAGCTCCATGTTTTTCACAAAATAAACAAATACTTAAAATATCATAAAATGGAAGAATTAGAACCCAAAACTATTTTCCAAATTCTAACATCAAGGTCCAAACTACCACTGTAAACCAAATAAGATGTACCACCTGGTTCCTTATCACTATTGTTATTGCTATCATCGCTATCAACAATGGTAGCACTCAGACACTTAACTGCTCTTCTATGTCCTTCACAAACTGCTAGACAAGTATAATCATTCGTCCCTACTCCTCTCTTCCAAATCCTAACTGTACTGTCGGCAGATCCACTGCACAACAAGTCTGATACAACTGCCAAACACAAAATCGCCTTTCTATGACCTCTAAGCGCACCTGCCAACACCATATGTCCTCCGCCTCCTCCGCTACTGTCTGTATCTTTTTCCCAAACAATAATTGACCGATCACAAGCACCAGAATAAAGAACAGACCCATCTGTACTAATTGCTAAAGCGTTGACAGCTGACATATGACCCTCCATTGTTGAAACCAATGAATGCTTTGCATGTAATTTCTTCCAAACCCTAATTTTCTTGTCTGCGCTACCCGTATAAACAAACTCATCGTTTGACAAAACTATAGCGTTAATGGCATCATCATGTGCGTTTGCTATGGATTCCAAACATTTAAAATCCGAAGTTCGCCAAATCTTGAACGTTCTATCCCATGAAGCAGAATATAAAAGAGAGCCGTCTTTTGACATTTCTAGTGCTGAAACGGTGTCGACGTGATGAACCCATGTGCATTTTTTGTGTCTTCTGACTTTTACGTAGTTCTTGCTCGAAAAGAATCTTGAAAAACGATCTTTTATTGTAGGAAGTGTGGCTATGCATTTATAATTTTGCTTTTTGTTGCTGTTGTCAATTTTCCATACACGAATCTTGCAATCTTGATGAGCGCTGAAGAGCTTGTCTCCTATGATAATTAGTGACTTTACAGCTCCATTACTAGTACCTACAGTGTCTTTGATAATTGAATCTTGATGCGTCCAAGGGTATTTGCTCCATAAAGTTATTTCGCTGTTTGAAGAGCCACTGTAGAGGAATTTTCCGGCTAAAGCTAGGGAGAATACGTAGGAAGACTGGCCTCTGAGGGTAGCTAGGCAGTAGTGGTGGATGGTGGAGGTTTGCTGCGAAGATGGCGGTGTTAGGGAAGGAATAGATGGCAGACTTGGTTGAGAGGAGAGGGAAGAGGAGGTAAAAGATTCTGAGCGGAAAGGATCAGGACAGGACTGAGATTCTTTTTCTTCTGGACATGCAATGAGTTCCATAATTTGCCTAAGAAGCTAAAGATAGTTGGGGAGACAATATGGTTTGGTTAGTTGTTTTGGGTTTGACATATAGAGGATTGCTTATAAAGACATGTATACATAAAATTAAGAAGTAGTTCATCTGTCAAGTACTGTCAATTTTTATAGCTGAATAATTGAGGAGAGTACTCATTTTTTAACTAGACCTATATTATATCAATCATAATGTCAATTTCACTTGCCAATAAACAAAGGTGAGATTCCCTACATGTTTTTAGAATTTCAGTTTTAGATTTTAGAGCTTTAAGATTTAGGGATTAAGTTTTTAAAATTTTAGGGTTCAAGGATTTAGAATTTTATGGGAATAGAATTTTATTATGATTTAGGACTTATAGTTTAGGTTAATGGTAAACTATTTTAAGGTTTAGAGTTTAGAATTTAAGATTTAAGATCGTCTAAAATTTAATAATTTCATTGTTTTTAAGATTATGATTCCAAGATTACATCATTTTTTTGACAACCATCTAACATTTTGCACTTCTTGCATTGCAAAACCAGATTTTCACCACCAATATTTGAAGGGCTTTAACTGAATATTTTATATCACTTCTCGAGTGCAGAAACATGTGTGTGCAGAAAAAAAAAAAAAAAAAAAATGAGAAACATGTGTTTGTGCAGAAAAAAAAAAAAAAAAAATTCAACTGCTACAGTGTTATGCATCCAAAAAAAAAAAAAAAAAATTCAACTGCTACAGTGTTATGCATCAATTATTGAGATAAAGCTAGATGCCTCCTTGGGCTACCCTACATGATATTTACGAGTTGGTAAAAATATACAACCTCTTTCTCTTTGTGCGTTTCTTTGTGAAAAAGAAAGCAGTTAGCAAGTGCGTACAGTTCACATGCACAGTGACCCATGTTTAAGGAATGTCACCATTGCTCTTTTTGAATGTTTATTGTATTATTTTCATTTTGGATTTGTTGGAGAAGAAAGGTTCACGTGTTTCAGAAATTACAATTAAGTTTCTTGTTCGATCTCAATCTGATTATCTAAATCTAGATAGGTCCAGCATAAAGTCGAAAATTTTCTTTTTTTAGCCTTTCGTTCATGAATGTTTCTTCATATAAAGTTATTATTATTATCGATTTACAAGTCCACTGATTGACAAAACCAATAAAATTTTTTTTTTAAATGAAGATATTTTTTATTATTTATTGAGAAAATGATAAAATCTGAATAATTTTTTGAAAAAAAAAAGTCTGTGTTTTTATTGATTTGATCTATAAATGGAATTATAAATTCAATTTAGACTTGTCTAATCCTTATTATTAAATTTTTTTTATTCTTTATGCATAAGTTCTGCGTATCTGTAATGTATGCATAAACTCACTTGAAAATGATTTAGATTTATTTAGACCGAGTCTATGTCCTCATTCATGAATCAAACCAATGAATATAAAGGTTTTTAAATATTGTTCTCATTTTATCTCTTTTTTTTAGTGTATAATTAGAGATGTCCTCGATTCAATAAGAACTTATTGATTTGGTCCATGAGTAACCTTGTAGACCCAGTCTAGCCAAATCAATCCTCTTGAAAATTTGGTTATCAAAATACTTATTAAGGAGAATCACATGTCTAGACTGGATCTAATCTCCATCTATAGGTCAAATTAATGAAATATATATATATATATATATATACAAATAAATCCACAAGATCACCTGACTTAGTATTTAACAATTGATTTTTAAATAAAATCATATATATGCAAAGCGCTATGATTATTAATGGGATTTAGATACACACAGATACAAATATTTAAAGACAAATCGTAATTATAAATTAAAATACTATGATTTAATGGATTTATATGAACACTTATAAAATTCATTTACCTCAACTTATAAAATTCATTTACCTCAGAATCAACATACAAATTAAGTATGATACGTGGCTTTGTTATACCAAGAAGATGACTATTTAAATAGTCCTTTGGACTAGTAGCCTGCACCTCTGGGTTTCCAGCCTATATACCAATAGTTAAACAAGTACTGTTTAGATTCCTTTTAAAAAATAGTTACTGTTTATCGTTTTTAGTATGAACAAACAATTACTGTTTAAATCAAACACAAAACAATATTTCTGATGTGGACGATCAGACTAAGCTGCATCCACAGAGCATACTTATATATCAAACTAATCACAGTTTAATATTTATCAATTAACTCAACCAATTTTAATTGATTTTAATTAAGGTTGAAGGTTCCTGCAACCTTAGCCTGGGATCCCCAGAACTAAGTCAGAGTGTGGAGGGAGAAGAGAAGGAAGCCTTTAACAACCTTAGCCTGGGATCCCCAGAACTAAGTCAGAATGTGGAGGGAGAAGAGAAGAAAGCCTTTAACAGGGCTTAATAATAACAATTTATAAATTAAAATAAAGAACTTTATTGAAATACAAATATGAAATACAAATTTAACTTACAAGTTTAATGTTTTTACAATCCAGACTCCGAGCGTTGAATTCTTACAACAATCTTGGAGAGAAGGATGAGAAAGGTTTAGGGTTCTCTAAGATAAACTTATCAAAATAAAACTTATGCCTTCACAAGAGGAAAGGCTCCCTTTAAATAACATAGAAGTGGAATCTTTACTGTTTAACTTTTACTATTTATGAACAGTGGTATGTCTGCCTCTGCCACCGAATCTTCAACAGTGATGACCTTTACTGTGGATGAACAGTGGGTTGTCTGCCACTGTGTCTTGACCTTTACTGTGGACATCATGTAGTGGCTTTTCCTGTTGAAACAGTACATTGGCCTTTACTATGTGAATGATGGTGAAGCAAGGTTTCACCTGCCTGAAATAAGGTTTCACCTGCCTTTTACTCAGATGAGGACGATGTGTCCTTCTTTTTCTTTTCTTTTTTCTTTACTTTGCTTTTTTGCTTTAATTTGTCTTTTGCTTTTTTGGCAGCTTTACTTTTGACTATTATTGAATGGAGAATATCATCATTACTGTCTTCTTTAGAGGAAAGCGATGATGAAGATGATGAAGAAGAGGACGCCATATCAGCCCATCTAGGTTTACTTTTGTGGCTGGATTTGGATGATTTATCTGAACAAACTGCTGGCTGTTTACTTGATGAGGGTTTTACTGGAGAATCTGAACTTGTAGAAAGTTGTTGGAACATTTCTTGGCAGATTCTTTTATACTCAGCTCATCTGGAGTTTTAAGCAGCAGCTAACGCTAGCTTGACACTGTTGCTTTTTTGGATTTCCAAATGTAAGGTTGATCCTTTTAAAGCAAGCGTAGTCGGCATAGGTATAATGAGAAACCTTGTGAGCAGTTTATTACGGATCCATTGATGCAATTTTAAGTTCAGTGTAGAGTTTCTTGAACGATCCCCCACCATTTAAATCTTGTGTCTTGTTTTAGCCAAACATAGGAATCTGATATATGTTCCTACGGCATACTGAGTGTCCAAATACCATTGATATACCCATGGCGTAAAGAAGGCCATACAATAATACATGAGTGAAGGAATATGGGCTTCTGTAGGACTGGGTTTATAATGGGCTTTAAAAAACTGATATAAGGCCTGAATTGGAGGAGGGATAATTTCATTGGAAATACCCCTGGTTTGCCACCATCTTTTAAACCAGTCAGGCACTTTACAATCAGTATGGAATGAAGTATCAAAATAGATTAACCATGAATGCGTAGCAGTGGGGTTTTGAATAGCAAAGACTTTTTCCCATGCATCGCGGTAATCAAAATAATTGATCAAAATAATTGTAAGCAGTACTGTGTACATGCTTATATAAAACTTTAAATTTTACAGGTGTATAAAGAGAGGGTGCAGGCCAATCCTTGGGATGGATAATCCTGTGGATTTTAAGAGAAGAATATAAAATAACAAATTTATTTTTTGAATCATAATTGTGTTTAATTTTTACTAATCCTGTATCCAGAAGAATATTATGATAATATTCCTGAGGTTTTGAAAGATCGGTTGGAAGAAAATACCAATCCTCAGAATAATATTGTTTTAAAACATACCAAGGATTAATATTGTTATATCCATCCTCAATCTCAATTTCATAATCAAAAATATTTTTAACAAACCATTTATGTATACTTGGAGTATACTGGATTTTTACTGATTTTTGGCAAATCCACAGCACACATCAACCGGATTTGATAAGTCTTTACTGTACTACCGTTTGAAGACAGACTAGTCGTACCATGAACGGGTACAGACTAGCCGTACCATGAACGGGTACGATCGCTTTAGGTTGTGAAGACATACCTGGCGCCTCTGTGGAAGAGGACGCTATACTCTGTAACGCCTTTAACACTTCAGGGGATTGACTAAGTTGTTCAATGCATTTTTTAAGATCTGAAGAGGTTTTAGTGTTTAGGGTTTTAGGTAAATCTTCTGAGTGCTCAGAGAGAGCTTTAGTGGGTGATTCTGATTCGTCTTTAGGGGCTTTGCCCTTATCCTTTTTCCTTCCCATCGTTCTGTAAGAATTCGCGAGTCAGAAAGTCTGGAATGTTATTGCTGTTTCCTTTAATAAATTCAATAATCAAATTCATATACTGAAGTAGGCTTTGCCATCTAGCCAAATTTGTTTAGAAGCGAGGTTTTTAAACATCCTTTTGCAAAACACTTTTTGCAAGATTTAACAATGCATGCCGAAGTAAAAACTTTTGATTTAATAATCAGTCTGAAATTTTTTTTACAATAAATAACTTAAAATCTACTTCTTTTATCAGAACAGTTTATTTGGTTTGGATTTCATGAGAGTTACGAATAATACGTTCTTTAATTATGAATCAACTTGTTTTAACACTACCACCACATTCACTGCAGGCATGCCGTTTCAACAATTTTAAAAGGCTGTTGGATTAAGGGATGTAAAGATATGGTTATTTCCTTTAACTAAGGCCTTTTTCACTCTTTTTTACTAAACTGTGTATGCTGAGGCTGCTACACATGGGCCGCATTTTTCTTAGGCCTGTCATGCATGGTTTTAACCATGCACCAATCTGTTTCGCCGATAAAATCTATAACAATAGTTTAAAAATCCAAGAAACGTCTTGGGAGTTCGCGTTTTATTAATGTTAATTCATATTAATTCATCAGGGAACTTGGACCCAAAAA